ATCCATCCATCCATCCATCCATCCATCCATCCATCCATCCATCCATCCATCCATCCACATCCACCTCACCACCATTCAAAACCTCACCAGGGAGGCGTCCGGAATGCATCCTAATCACAGCCATCTCAACTAGCTTCTCTGAATGCGGAGGAGCAGCTGCTCTACACTGAGTCCTTTACTCATCTCACCCCATCTTTAAGGGAGAGCCCAGACACCCTGCGGATTAAACCCATTTTTGCCACTTGTATCCACAATCTTATTCTTTCGGTCACAACCCAAACTTACCCTACTTGAACTTGAACTCTTCCACGTGGGGCTGGACATCTTCCCTGACCCAGAGAAGCACTCTACCCTTTGGCAGTTCAAGACCGTGCTCTCAGATTTGGAGGCACTGATTCTCATCCCAAACACTTCATACTCAGCTGTGAACTGCTCTAGCAAAAAGTTGTAGAGCGCGACTTGACAAAGCCAATAGGACCACATCACCTGCAAAAAGCAGAGATGTAATCCTATAGCCACCAATATGGATCCCTTAAACCCCTTGGCTATGCCTGGAAATTCTGTCCATAAAAGTTATGACTCTGACAGGCATTTCAAGCAGACCCACTCAATACGTTTGGGCCAATCTGGAGTCCTCACCCACCATCAGAGCCAGCTCACCATAAGGTAGTGGTCAGTGGTGGTAAGATGGTAATTTGTAATGGTTCTGACTAGAAATAGTTGGATTCACCGCAACATATGACTCTAGTTCTGGAACCAATCTCTTTGAGAGGGTTTGGACACTCTTTTATTATGAAGTTGCCCTAGGTGAGAAGCGCCGAGGAGGAGTGGGCATACTTGTTGCCACCCTATCTTGCATGTTGGAGTTTACCCCAGTAAATGAGAGGGTAGCCTCCCTCCCCCCTTCGGGCAGTTCAGATTACCCACCCTTGTTATAGGCCTTGCTGGAGAACCCCATCCCACCCCCTACCCCCCTCACTTCTTCGCAGCTACAGCTGTTTAGCTGTATTATTAATGTAATTGAATGTTGATTCAAACCAATATTTGCTGAACATATTGTTGTATACATAATGTTTTGCTGCTGGTCAAACAATCAGTGTAAATTAAAAAAAAACTGTAGACCAAACTTAGTCACACACATCGAACTGATGGCTTTGTTTCATCTACTTTATCACTGCATCCTGGAAAACACTCATATCAGCATACCCTGTAGAATAATATGCTCCCCTGGAAATGCTATTTGTATGTACATGGTAAGTGCTTCTCTGTGGTCCCATTTGAATGTGTACCAGATTTCATTGCTCCACAGTGTCCAATTTTCATGATAGTACCGGCCAATGCAACTTTAAAAAGCCATCTGCATTTCTGGTTGCATCAGTATCTGTGCAAGAGTCTTTGTTCTGTATTTAATGACTGCTCCAGTCCTCCAGTGACATTTTTCCAATCTGCATTTTTCTGCTGCTTGGATTCTTTGGAAGTTTGTACTTGAAACTTACATTTCCAAATCCTTAATATTCTTATTTGTGTGGGATGACCAGACTGTTTTCCCATTAAAAATTCTGGATGAAAATGTTTCATAAGTTTGTAATTGATGTCTTGCTCAGGCTATGGGCAGTATTGTCTATACCACATCTATACCTCACTGTATGTGCATTGTTATTTGCAGTCAAAAGAGCCCTGTTTGTTTGCTCTTTACTCTTCAGGAAGACCTCAGCTGGAGCTATGCATGTGGAACTTTACAGTGAAAGTTCCTCCGAAAGTGAAGAGGAAGAGGAGCTGTTGGAGCGCCGTCCAGAGAATAATATAGACCTGCCCTCTGAATACTGGCAAATCCAGAAACTTGTGAAATATCTCAAGGTATTAGACTGTAACCCTACCAGTTGTGAAAAACACAAATTAGTTAGAGTAGAATTTATAGTAAACATTACAGTTCATGGTATTTTCTTGTTGTCCATGCAAAAATTCAAGTTTAAATGAGTCAACTGTCCAATTTCTAAGACTTCTGTTGTACTGCAATTATTTTAAATTATATTTAGTCATAAATATGCAGTTTAGAGGTTTACCCAAAGCTTATTTACCTGTCCCGCCATTGCATATATCGGTTTTATAAAGTCACATCAAGATAAAAAGATTTCAGATTAAATGAAGAGCTTTTTTAAAATCCCATTTATATCTGTGCTTTGCTGGACCATACTGACTGAAGTGCTTGACTAAGTTTGCAGATTCTTGTTTTCTGACACTGTGTGGTTGCAAATGGAAGCCAAGTGACAGGGGGAGAGAAGTGTTTGACAGAAGCAGGTGTAGACACTGTTTGCTCATTTTGAATAAGCATGAAAATGAGCTCACCTCTAACAGATCTGACAGGAGTATGTGGGGAATGTCAATGTGTCAAAACATAAAAGAGAAAAAAAGGAAGACAGAAACACCAATGACCCAGACTGTCTGGGAATACCTTTGACCATCCACGAGACACACATAAACACACAAAAAGTAGGGGTCACTATTACATATTTATTGGGATAGTAGCATTCAGGCAGATTATATTGTAAAAACAGTTTACAACCATTCCCTTTCTGTTCAACAATAAAAACTCCAGTATTTTTTTTTTATTTGTTAGAAAATAGCTGTCTCTTGTTAGTCTTTCACACATTTCTTGGTACAAGTCTGAACCAATATGTCAATTGTCAGTGTTCTCAAATTCGCTTGCCAATTGGAAATAGAAACTTGCCCTGGCTTTAATGTTGCTTATATATCTTTTATAGGTTCATTAGTATACACCATCCCTCTTATTAAAAAATACAGTAGAATCTACTGTATTACTAAGTGGCTACTGACTGTCATTACCTGCTGCTCAACACAGTCAACCAAACCATGGGTCAACCGAAGAAATCACTGTACTAAAACATTTTGACACCCTTCAGACACCCTTCTGGTTTCTAAGTTTAATACTTTTTCATGGTTTTGGGGCAGGGCCCTTAGGTTTTTGTGTGTGTCTTTCAGTGTGTGTGTGTGCTGCTTCAAAAAGATGCATTAGTGCTGAAAACAGTACGTCCCAGTTTCTATCTGTCTGGAAACCACACAGCATAGTTATTTATGGGTTTAACGCAGTAGTCATTTGATAATATTATCATCAGATGCTGGAATGTAGCTTAAGCCAAGTTAAATATCTGTTTTATTTTAGGAGCACCCCCCTCTTTTCTTTGCACTATAGGCAAGGTTTTCACACTTTTACTGAAGAATATATTAATATTTTGCCATGTTTTCTAATTATGTTTAAGACTATTTTCTTCAAGGCCTTATATGTTTGTTTTCATACTTGTAAGATTACAGGTCTGTGCCAGTTCAACTTTTGCAAAATCCAGAATTTAGACTGAAGTCAGTATTTTGCAAATATGCATTTATCTGTGAGTTTGTCCGTCTACATAACTCTTCATCATTAAAACTTGCATGCATATGCCGTAGTTATCAGTTAGATGCTGCCGGTACTACAGCACATTTATAGCCAGGACTAAATAATGGAAGGAAGCACATTTTCAAAATTTGGAGAATAATGCTAAACATTTCCAAATGGTATTTCTGGCAACTAAACTCAAAAATAAATTGTGAAGATTTTTGTTAATGTTTAAAGATAGACCAAACATACCAGTTGCAGCCAGCTATATCGTCCTCAGGCTTCTAGCACACAAAAATATTCCCGTTCTCAGAGAAATGCATTTAGTCAAATATGCAATATTGTCCAAATTTGTATAAGTTAAGAGATAATGATATTTTTTGGTGAGAAGATAATATTTTAGAATCCAAGAAAAAAAAGTATCTAAGAAAAACCTGTTGTTTCATCATTAACACTTAAGTGGCTACACGTAAAAATATAAGTCTTTGCAATATACCTCTACTATCTAATATGATTTATATAGCTTTATATAGCTATAATTTAACAAGCTGATGCAAGGGCTGGACAAACATGTTTTTTTTTGTATCCTCATTAAGGTTGCTCTCCCTCTGCTGGACAGCAACAGTAATACTGCACTGTTCTCCTGTCATGAGAGCCATGCTCCTAATTGCTAGTATAAAGCTAATGTTGTCATATCAACATAAAATGTCCAGGATCTATACATCCCATACTGTAATAAGTCTATGTTGTTTACTGCTACTTCAAATGACTATTGTACTGAATCAAAAAATCTTATTTTTAGTCATTATAGTTCATTTACAACAATCCCTGTCTAGAAAACGTTCCCACAAAAATAACAGCATACTGTATTTTTACTGAATTATGCAACTTTAAACTCAAAGACACAACTAGACCTTTGCTCACCATGAAACGTATTAGATATTATGTTATAGGAGATTGTATGGCTAATCGAAAGTTAAAAATAATAATGAATATTTCTGTCCATTCTCCACTGGTCATTAGCTCTAACAGAGCATAAGACTTTGATTGCACTTGTCATTAGTAGCCTTCCTTCTAAGTCTATTGTTAAAGTACAAAGAATGAGCTCTGATACATATTCTATATCTTGACCTCTGCCAAGATCTACAAGGACTGGCAGTGTTCTGAGTTCACCTGACACCGATCCAGCATTTCAAACATAATTTTGTCTATCTGAGCATTGTCCTTAAGCGGGTGCTTATTTTCACTGTTTTGCCTGTGGTTCAAGTTACACACAAAAACGCTTTAAGGAAAAGGTTGACAGGGTATTGCTGACAGCCCTGTTAACCTGAGTCTGAATAACACTGACCTGATATGGCTCTGGAGTTGCAGTCTGCTTCTGCAGAATCCAGTTTGGTTTTCCAAACTAATCAATATAGAATGACAGACCCATACAGAAGCATCAAGGGTTTTTCAGTAGCTCAGGCAGATTCACCTGTAGTAAAAAGAAAAAGGACAAAATACAACATTTACAAAACACAATATTTAAGCAACTTTATACAGCTAATATAAAGTTGTATCCTTCAAATGGAGGAGCTTTAACTGAATTGTTTAGCGATTAAAATGATCCCAATAAGATGCTTTTTTTCCAGAATGGTTAACACTTGTAAGTGTCTCCTTTTTTATCGAGCTTTACACAATTTCAAAAGTCTCCCATTAAAACAATTGGCCCTGTATACTTTGTCATACATATTCAGGGCTTATGGAAGATTGTGCTGATTTCTCTGGCCATCGCGTCAAATTTGTTGTGATCAAAAGCTTGCAATGGAAGTCCCAAACTGCAGACTTTGGTCTGCAATGAAATTCCTCCCAAATGTGTGAATAATACCACTAAGTGCCTTCAATTGTTGTGTAAAGAAGCTTAATTATTAAGCTACATTCAAACAACAGTTCGGCCTTTGTCATTACAGGCAGCAACCTCAGTGGGGGGTGGAGTGGTGTTCACATTACAATGGAGAAAGTTAACACCTCGATAGGAATACACAATTTTTGCAGATGGGAAGGGGCATGCAGCACTTTGTTTCAGTGAAGAGCAAAGCTGGTTTGAAGTTCATGTTCTGAGATAAAATGTTTTTTTAATTTGTTCTACATCTGCACCTATCATACTCAAAGACAGAGATTTTTCACCATAAAAGAGTCAGATGTTGTCAGTGTTTTAAAGAATGTCGACAATACTTCAAGACCAAAGCTACCAAAAATGAAAGCATATGATCTATTTCTTTAGTCCCTGCTATACTCCCAAACCTAGCCTTTTTTGTTGTTTTTATAAGGTACGAAGCTCGCCTGCCAAATCGTTTGAAGAGTTAAAATAAAGGAGACAAAAGACGCAGTAGATCCACTGCTGTTAATGGGCAAATGGTTCACATTTAGGGAAGCATTGTGAAATGGAGAGCACATGTGCCTGTTGAACTTACACTACCTTGGAAAGATGATATGATCAATCATCCGTTGAAACTTTGTGACAGGATGACACAGATGAGCTGCCACTTTCTCAATTTTCATCAGATACATATTCATATTCATATTTTTTGTGACTGGGTATTTTTTTTTATACAAAACACTAATAGGATAATATTTATTTTTGAATGGTTGAAATAACCTACTTTGAATGAGTCAGGAAGAAATCTGAAATCTCCACTCTCCACTGACCTAAAGTTTTCCTGAGGTCTGTTTTCATAAATTTCATTTGATTAATTCCGTGGCATATTTTATGCACAGCAAAAGATACGTCATATTTGCTATTAACTTACCGGAAGATTTGATCAGGCTTATGATAAAATAGGCTTATTGCATCAGTCATATCTTTACCTCCTGCACTGTTCTGAGACTCTTGTCTGTATCAATGTGTACTGGAGATTATGTGGATTTATACTGGATTTAAAAGAAAAAAGGAAGAGAGAGAAGCAATTAGAACACTAAATTTAGTTGAAACATAAAACAGATTAAATTCCTCTAACTATAGAATGTGTTGCATTTAACCATGCATGTCTAATTTTAAATCCCTCTATTGTTTCTATCTTCCTTTTTCTGCAGACACATTGGAGTTAAGTGGCAATAAAAAGTAATCAGTTCAATTTCCTGCCGTTTGCAGAGAAACTTCAGAGTTTTCACTCTTAAAAGTGTTATGACTGAGCTGAGTGGTAGTTTGAAATGCCTATTGATGACATTTGTTAGCTGGGATACTAATTTAAAATTACATGATGGCATGCTGTTTAGTGACTATTGATGCATTTAGCTTTGTATGTGCTAACTTGTTATTAGTTTTTGGTTCAGTAGCAAGAAGTACTTTTCTTAAGGTGAAGGTCTAATTGTTTATTTCCTTGGGGATGAAGTCACAGCACTGGTTAGCAAATAATTTCTTACAACTCCCTTAGTAATGTTACTAGGGTGGGAGTCTTCTAAAACAGGAATGTTGAGATTCTTTACCTCCCCATACCAAATACATGGTTGAAAACTTGCTAATTTTTTTCTTTCTTGTTTGACATTATCATTTCAGGGAGGTGACCAGACAGCCACTGTGCTCACTCTTTGTGCCATGATGGACTTTAATTTAATGCAGGAGACATGCCAACTGGCCATCCGGGATGTAGGTGGCCTTGAAGTCCTTATCAACTTGCTGGATACTGATGAAGTTAAATGCAAAGTGAGTAACTGTGCCAAAGCTGGACCTGGATAACTTGTAGGAATGCCTAGAACTCGCCACGTATACTACCTTGTTTTTTAGTTACAGAAACGGAAGTGCTTGGTAGAGATGTATCTTTTAAAGACTTTGTGAAATAACTATTTACTAATATGTGCAGTTCTTTCAATATTTGTTTACTATTTGTTTACTATTAGTATACATATATAGTATACATATATATATATATATATATATATATATATATATATATTTAGTCTCCTTTTTCAGCGCAAAGAGAGGCTCATAGTGGCGTAGGACCTTTTTTATTAGTCTATAAAAAAAACCTAAAACGCTTTCTTATTACTGTAATTTTTTTGGAATTAAAAAAATAGATTGGATCACTAAAAATCCTGAGGAAGATCAGCCACAATATGCAAATCCGGCAGACAATTGTAGACATGGGAGGCCTGCAGAGCATTGTGAAAATTCTGGATTCACCAGTTAAGGACCTCAAAGCCCTAGCAGCAGAGACAATTGCGAACGTGGCCAGGTTTCGCAGGGCAAGAAGAACCGTCAGGCTGCATGATGGTATAAAAAAGCTAGTGAGTATACATCAACTACATTATTGTACATCACTAAGTTGTACTTTTTTAAAAGTGCATTTAAACAAAATGTTACTTTCACTGATTCAAAGTACCATGTAGCACATTCTACATGTTGTTACAGGCTTATGTTGCTTTTTCTCTGTCATAGACATGCTCACCAATGAAAAGGTTTGACTCTCAGTACCTGAGACAATACCTAGAGAAGTTAACTACGCGTAACTACTGACCCTCCAAATTTCCAAATGTTACATTGTCTAGAGCTAAAGCTACCACATACACACAGAGAAAAGCATACATTTAGGTTGCAGCTTGCTCAATAATTTCAGTACAACAGGAGGGTAAAAGCTGCATTGGAATGTAATCTTTCTGCACTAGCATTAATAGTGGACAATTTTTATAGACTACTGTTATTGTAACAGGTTTCTTGTAATGCTAGTCTCTGCTAGTTTAATAATTTGATATGCATTTTTTGTTCTTAGCCACAGAAACTTTGAACACATATTTCAATATTACACTTTTCCAGGTGCATAAAAAATAAAACACTACCCTTTTTACACTGTACTATTCTGTAGATTTATGACAGTGTCATTCAGTTTTTGAGGGTGGCTGAGTGGGTGCTTGGTAAAACGGTTAGAATGTCTCTTACATCCTCTGACCTGCATCCATGTTTGTTGACAGAAGGACCTGTGATTAAAGCTGCCATGGCTTGTATATTTTCCACAGTCTTAAATCGGATGTTCTCATGTGCAAGTCACTCACGGAGGCAGATTCATTTCACGCTATTCTACAAGACCACCTTTGATCTGTGTAGTGTATAATAGCTTTGCCTGCCTGTCTCACTGGCCAGGGACTCTGGATTAGAACACTGAATGATGGCCATAAACCATCAAACTGGGCTTTCCAGGCCTAACATCAACATCTGTCCTGACACTTTTCCATTCTTTGCATCTCTGGTGTTTTCATGCTTGCAGACCTACTGGTAATAGAATTTTAATTACACTCTTACTCAAGCCCCAAAAGTTTCTTTTCCCATCTGGAGCCATTCCTTTGTACTCGAATTTTGTAAGAAAACTTTAGAGTTCTTGAATTTGTTTCAGGTTCTCTGAATTTTTGTAAATGTAATGTTGCAGTCTTTCTTTTCTGCTTGAGAACACACTGTCCTCTTGCTTGTCTCCACACATTTTTAAGTTTATTTATGTAAGTCTGAGGACCTCTCTCTGATTAGGTAAAACTGCTAGACTGCATCCCAAATTCAGCTGACCCAAGTAAAGATCATGAAAAGGATGTAGAGGTGGCCCGCTGTGGGGCCTTGGCACTGTGGAGCTGTAGCAGGAGCACTAAGAACAAGGAAGCTATTCGTAAGGCTGGCGGTATCCCCCTGCTAGGACGCCTGCTGAAGTCTCCACATGAAAACATGCTAATCCCTGTTGTGGGCACCCTGCAGGAATGTGCCTCAGAGGTGAGTGCAGTGCTATATAATAGAAAAGAAAAGAAAATACTTTATCCATCCGTGGGCACAATATAGATGTAGATGGACTTCGATGAGACTGAAAGCCAACTGTTCATGGAAATATACTTACCAAAATATTACGCAAACATTGAATGCATAAATATTTGTCTTGGCCTATGTTGATTTTGTTTTTTTTGTTGCTGTTGTTATAGGAAAATTACAGGACTGCTATCCACACTGAAGGAATGGTCAAGGATTTGGTCAAAAACCTAAGCAGTAACAATGATGAGCTTCAGATGCATTGTTCCAGTGCAATCTTCAAGGTGTTTGATTTTCTTGTTTGTTTAATGGTTTCATTTTTCTTTTCAACATATCACAAAAAATAATGGACCCCTAAAACTTACTAAAAACATAGACTGAACATATTCTCTGAGATCTTATGTGTCCTGCTTATTAAAGGTGCAGACTGAAATAATGTACATCTCTCAAAATTCTCATGTGTATTACAGTGTGCAGTGGACAAACAAACCCGGGATCTTGTACTCAAATACAAAGGTCTTAAGCCACTGGTGTCACTACTTGGTAAAGCAGACAACAAGCATCTCCTGGCGGCTGCCACCGGGGCAATTTGGAAATGTTCAATCAGTATGGAGAATGTGGCCATGTAAGCAAGACACACATATTATCACCACAGACATATTATCACCACATATATATATTTTTTATTTATTTATTTATTTTTTTTGCAGAAAGTGCTCATGAAAATAGTTAGTTATATTGGTTTTATCTAGCATGTGAACTCATTCCTTTTTTATACTGATTAGTGTGTAGTTGATAAATTCCTCACCGCACATAGGTAAATAAATCTAATGAGGCTCTATGTTAAGGTTTTGCTAGTTATTGAACATTTTCTCAAGCTTGCTAAATTGATGCAGCCAACTTATGTGCATCATACTGTATATCGTCTTCATTCCATAATAACAGATGTTACTTTTATGAGTGGCTCTCATCCAGTTATTTCTAGTTGTGTCCCTCTTTCCACTTTTCACTGTTGACAATTCTTCAATGTTTTGCCATCGTTGACATGATTACTTCCGTAAATTGTTAGGTTTTTGTCTGGCTTGTATTAAGCTTTGGTGTTTTACATGAGTTTGTGCTTTTAGATCTTGTATTTTCCACTATTAACAAAGAATCAATTAAATGTGTAGAATTTATAGGCCTTGGTGATATGTCATTCAAAGCTCATTGGTGCTGACTGAAGACATACTGAAAGAATCAGACTTAGGATTGTGTTTTTTTACTGTCAGAACATACAAGGCATGGTCTTTACATTTGTCATTTAAGAAAATAATTTAAGTGTCGAGACTTAAGTGAGGTGTCCAACATAGTTTCTTTAGTAGTGACATTTTTGGAAAGGCTCTTGACTTGTACCTCCATGTCAGATGACTTTCATGTCTATATATTTCCTTCTAAAAATATATTGCCAACATTGTGCCTTGGCAGACCAATACATTTCTGCTAGTGTGCTCCTGAGAGAGTTGTTTAGCTGTACTTATTTTCTTTTTCATTGCGACTTTCATGGCCCAAATCCACAAGAAGGTTCTCGATTCGAGTCCCGGGGGACCCAGGACCTTTCTGTGTGGAGTTTGCATGTTCTCCCTGTGTCTGCAAAGGTTCTCTCCGGGTTCTCCGGCTTCCTCCCACAGTCCAAAAACCTGCATGCTAGGTTGATTGGACATTCCAAATTCACCTTAGGAGTGAGTGTTTGTCCTTGTATGTCTTGTGTGTGGCCCTGCGATGGACTGTCCAGGACGTACCTTGCCTCTTGCCCATTGACCACTGGGATAGCCTCCAGTTCTCCCCGCGACCCAATGCGGTAACGATAATAGATGGATGGATAGTTTTCTAAAAGAACAAAATGATGTTGGCACACAAAGATAATAAAATCTTTGTTTTTGTGCCATTCCTAATTCCTTGTTGTCCTGTTACTATGAAAAAGAATTATACTACTCCTCATGATAAGACACATATAGATAATAATAATTGCTCTATTAATCACATCTATGCCACAGTTTGTAAAACCGTATCTAAAATCAGTAACCCAAATAGGAAAAAACACTTTGGTTTGCATCAGTATCAGATGATATTCACAGTTGGGTTTGAATGAAAATATAACTGGCCACCAGCGTGATGCACTGAAGAAATGTTTTTAATGCCCTCTGAGGTGTTATTTACACACATAAATGCTGTAACATTTTCAACAAAAAAGTCAGGAAAGTACGTAAAATTTTCTACATCACTAATTTCTAGTAGGGTTGTTGGGGGCTCTAGCGTATTCCAGCTGTCAGTGGCCAAGAGGAAAGGTACGCCCTGAACAGGTCATTAGTCCATCACGAAGCCATACAAATACATACAAGACAAACAACAACACAGACTCACACCCAAGGCCAATATAGAATCACCCATTAAACTGAAATACATGTTTTCGTATTGTGGGAGGAAGCTTAAGTACCTTGAGAACCCATGCACACACGGAGAACATACAAACTCTGCACAGAAAGTCCCCCAGCTGAGATTCAATCTTAGACTGCAGTAATGCTTAGGGTCAAGATTGTGGGCCTTGCAAAGACAGAACAAACACATTTCCTATGAATGGTTATATAATCTGTTAAAATGTGATTTATGCATCCTCATACATGCTTCAAACCTCTGATTGTATAGAGCTCAGTGTTTGCAACTGAAGCACCTTCAGGAAGTTTCGTGCTATGTTCTTACGATCACATAATTTCCTCAGCTGGGTATGACTTAACAAAAATAGATGCAACAGACTGCTAATTTCTCAAATGTCCTGTCTGTAACTAAAAGAAAATTCTACTTCAGTAAACTGCATATGACACATTAGTGATTGCATAAGAAAACCTGTTTTTGTTATGTGAATTTCACTAAAGTTAATTTTGGCAGCTCCTCTATTCATTAGCAGTGTTTTCATTTGCAAGAATAGGCCATCTGTTGGTGGACCCTGACCAAAACCAAATGACCTTGGCCATCTACAATAGCTTAACCCTAGTGCCAGCAACCGTAACTGTGAATAAAAACAGCTTTAGAGCTTAACCGTACATCAGAGGTTTGTTGAGGTTTTTTTAAAACCACAGCATATCCCGTTTGACTGTTTACAATAGTTTACCACTCTATAGCATATGCAAACAAGGCAAAATCACAGCTAAAGAGGGAGAAAGAGTTTCCAAACCACAGTAAAGCTTTGGTTATGCATAGTAAATGTGAAGGAAAACTATAAGCATTCGTGGGAAAAGTGCACGAATTGCCTTTGTTATTGAAAGCAATGTTATTTCTGTGGTGGATTTAGATGGGTAATGACTATTAACTGATTATTTGTGCAAAGGAAGTATTTGTGAGGCAATACTATTAGTCTGGCACTCACATCACCTCACTCTAGCAGTAATTTTAATTGTTTGATTAAATTGAGTCACGTTTATATTTATTTTGTGCTTTTTTTTTTTACAGACTATAATAGGAATAAACTATCCATGAATGTTAATTGCTTCTTTATCGAATTGAGATGTTGAAATGGTATGTTAAAATGTTCCTATTCACTCAAAGCTTTCAGGAGTACAAGGCCTTAGAGACCCTAGTTGGACTACTAACTAATCAGCCTGAAGAAGTGTTAGTCAATGTTGTGGGTGCCCTGGGGGAATTTGCTCAGATATCTGCAAATAAAGCTACCATTCGCAAGTGTGGAGGCATTAAACCACTTGTTAATCTACTCACCGGGACAAATGAGGTATGTGAAACTTTCCCTTACTTAAATTAGAATGATCTTCTCTTCCAAAAGATGCTCTTATATTAATTCATACATACCTAACTTGTCATTTATACAGGCACTGCTGGTCAACGTAACCAAAGCTGTAGGAGCATGTGCAACAGATAAGGAAAATATGATGTAAGTCTTGGTCTCTTCCTATGCAAAATTCCAAACTTTACGGAAGTGTCCTACTCGATATCATCACTGACATAGCTTCAAATGCTTACTCCTGTTACTCCAATGGTTTTGGAAGAGAATGACACCAATTTAAGGATCCAGACAGTGTCATTCAACTGCCAATGGTTGATATATAAAGAAATTAACACTTTGATTTGTAATAATGCATATAGGCTGTTCCATTGTCTGCATCTTAATGATGGATTTGAAAAGCTTTGTTTACTGTACCTGCTGTGTTAAATATGGGTGTGTATTAATAATTAACAGCCTTTCACTATACCATTGTGGTCACTGTGCTGTTCAGGCTAACATAATTAAGAGCCTGTCCTTTCCATTTTGCTGGAAAAGCACTGTGAACCAAAGTCCAGAGTGTTTATATTTTTGTGTGTTCATTTAACCTCACCCTAAATACTGCACATCATTGTTGAGCTTCCATCTGTGCCTCGTTTACTTTTACAAGGCTGTTACAGACTACAAGGCTCTTCTTAATTAGCACTGGACAGAAATATACCTAAACATCTGTGTTTACATTGTTAGTTAGCTGCTAATGCGTTAGTGTGAGTGTTACACGTTTGTTTGGAGAAAAAAACCAAGAAATTCAACAAAATGAACTATGTCAAAAATAAAGCTTGGAGGGATATTAAACTTTGCACAACAGCAGTCTATTACATCTGTTCATCATATTAGAGCTGCTTTTCAGATTAGCAGTGACACATTATCTATACATTTTAAAATGATGAATGTGATGATACCATACAATAAGTTGCATCATTCTTTTAATCTATCCAATTTTTATTTTCCAGTAGCTCCCGTCTTTAATCAGCAGAATCATTCTTCAATAATTTATTGGATTCAGATTGTTAATAACTGAGAACTGAAAACTCCAAATTAGCAATTGATCACTTTCAGATTTTCCATATGTTCATACCAGTAGACAGTTTGGTTGATGGTTTGCACTTCCTCCTTGGGATCCTGTGTAACTACAAGAGTGAACACACAGTTTTGAATACCTCCAAGTTTGTGGTCTTCTTCTCTAATCTATCAATGTCAGCTGCAACTTCATTACTAATCTGTTTCATACCTGCTTCATGTGGAACGATGGAGCTGCTTTGGCGGATGATATAACGCTTCACTTTTGTTTTTGGTCTGGATTTAAGAGGCCCTGCTGACTAGAATCTGATGTTATGATCCCTCTAGACTGATTTATGTGCAAACAGAAGACAGATGGCGTAAGGGACATCCCTGATGAGTGTTCGCCTGTTGCCAGTCACGGAGATACTGTGATTAGGGAGTGTTTAAGTAATTATGACAGGATTCAATGTCAGCCTTGTTGGTGGAAGCACACATGGGGAACACGTTACATGTTATTTATACCAGACAAAGGGTGCACTGTGGCATAATTCTTTGACTTCTCAGAGCTTGACTGCAGTTTTGAAAACAGTCATGTAAATGACATGAAAAAATGTAGATTCTAAAGCAAACTTTACGCAGACTTTATGAAATATAGAGTGAACTGTCTTGGGCTCTGTTTTATTTGGATGGTTGTCCTTTTCTGGCACCGGTTTAAAAACGAGGCATCAAAATGAAGTATATATTTGTCTCACTGTCTATTTATAAATCTATGTATGAATCACTACACACAGCCATTATGTAAGATGACCTTTGGCCTTATCACCACTGAGCTTTTCCATAGAGAATTACTTGAGTGAACATAGTGGGTGCGTTTCAGAGAAAAGAAACTGAGCTGGACTGGGGCAAGGTATGTTTTATTGAAGTTCACTACTTGAACTTACTGATGGTTTGATCCTATATAATAGTTAAATTGGTCTACTGCCGGCAACCTGATGTAGCCAGATCACAGGTATGATCAGAATAAATTAAGGAAGAAATAAAGAAATATGCTCTTAGAAATATTAGTCAAATATGATATTTTATTGAAATTATGCTCTCTTTGTCTCTCTCTCTTCAGGATAATTGAAAAACTTGATGGAGTACGCCTTGTGTGGTCACTATTGAAAAATCCCAGTCCAGATGTTCAGTCTAGTGCTGCATGGGCCCTTTGTCCATGTATTGAGAATGCAAAGGTACATTGAAGTTTTCTTTCAATTTCTTCAAACACACAGTTAATCTGAATCTGCCTGCTGCCATACTACTGAAATACCACAAAGGCACAAAGTTAACCTGTATATCAAGTACTCTGCAGAGCTTGTATCATTTCAGAATGAGGGTCATCTCTCTCACAAGAAAGAATTCTGCATATTACTGTGCTTGACTCAAAGGCTCTCTCTCTAACCTGTTGCCACTGGGAGGTTAACAGGGCCAGGGCTGTGTCAGTGGAGGCTTACTTGAACCTTGGACTAATATGAAGCAGAGAAGCCTCCTTGGCACATTGGGATTTGGGAATTGAGAAGCAGGCTGAGAGAAAGACTGAGTAATATCCTGTGGCATGGCGACTGATTTCCTAGCTGCAAATCTTCCGTCAACATGCTACTTGTTACAAAGGCACACATTCCACACATAGAGCACAGCGCACCAGACGGTTTCTGTGAAGTTCATTGTCTGATAAAGTACTTTATAAAGGTACAACTGCAGGGTTATGAATATTACAAAACTTTAAACATAATAATATGTTGTGAAATTAAACATGACAGACTTTCTTAAATGGAAGCAAATGATCGTAGATAAATGAATTGTGTGAAGCATTTTATGGCTATGCTTAGACTGAGAAATAGCCTCAGTTTTTGTCAGTTGAGTATTCATTTGTTGGGATTTAAAGCCAGTTTAAATCCCAGTTGTCTCAGTTTTTTTAAATGAATAATTATGCAACATACTAAAAAAGACATACATACCTACAGCTAGTCATAGCTACACTTTGATTATAGTTGCTCTTGGCAGAATCCATGGGGTAAAAATGCATAATCTTTGGATTGTCTGCAATCTTCATTACAAGACAAAAATTTGAAGAATAATTAATTGATTTAAACTGTGGGCATGCATTGCATTTAAATGTTGTAAATAATCTTTCATATTAGTTAGCAGGTCACTGATCTCTTGAATAATTTCCAGAAACAAATACATTGTTTTATTTGTATATATATTTTGAGTCATGAATGTCATGAAATGTAGCAACAATTGAATATGGTAACCATGTAGAATGAAGAGGGTAAATTGCAGATACACTAGTGTGCGCTGACAAAATTTGACTTTTTTTGTTTGGATGTTACTGCGCCATTTTTGTGGGAAATTCATGAACATGCTTTCTGGTTGTTTTTCTAGAATGAGAGTTAATTGCTACTATTTTTCCAATTGAGTTGAAGAAACTGGTACAACTGCCTTGATAGGATGGTTATTTAGTTAAAAAACAACGACATGTGGTGTAACTTAGCAGTTCCAGGGTAGATTTATGAAAAATAATGCTATGCTCAGTGTCAACATGTGTTCGACTTAAATTGATTATGAGCCATATAAGTACCTTGATCGTTTGGTTGTGGATTTGTTGATTATTAAATGAGAAAACTGAACCATTACAAACACATACATCATGGGTATATAAATAATTTTCCAGGATGCAGAGATATTTGAATGGTTAGTTTATATTCACTTAAGATGTTATGTTTTCTTTTATATGGTTGTTTGTTAAGTTACAGTTTAATTGCTTCAGAGAAGGGGTTTAAACTTACTTTTTACCCTCAGCTTCAGATCATGCACAGTTGATAATGTGTTTTCTATCTAATTGAATTCTTAATAAGAGGAAGGGAGAAAGAGGTTAGCAAGCAAGGTCTTTCCATGTGCAGCCTCATAATACTGCGGTTTTCAAAACTGGGGCCCTTCCAGGCCATGAAAGAGATTCTGGTTAGTCTGTCGCAGCTGGTGGCTTGAGAGAGCTTCCTCTGTCACAGGGACTCCCATCCAGGCTTCATCAGTATTCCTGAGGAAAAACTTCCTGTGTATTGGGAGTTAGCCTGCACCCCCATCACAGCCTGATGTCAGTTGTGCACTCTGCAGGCGAGGAGAAAACAATTATGTACATCCAGCTCTCCCACAGTAGTCTTGCTCTAAAACTGCTTGTACTTATTATTTTTATCAGAGCAAAATATGATAAAAAAAATTGTATCTAAATTATGTTTTTGATCCATATTTTTTAGGCCTGTTTTCAAAACACAAAATATTACAAACTCAGCCAACCTAATGTATTCTTCTTCAGCTGGCAATATAGTAGGTTAAGATTTTAAACAGTGGCCTGATGTGCCAAGCCATACTGAAACTAGAGTTTCTGCCAGCTCTTCCGCTGTGGTTTGTTCCGTTTGGTAGGCATCACCCCACAAGTGACTCAAAGTCAGAAGCAAAAACCTCAAAGCAAGTAGCCATTAGCCTGCATTGTAGGGGAACATTTTGAAGTTTGAAGTGGATCAGTTAAACTCACTCTTAAAAGTTAAGAGAGATGTCAAACTTCTTGCTCAGTCCTAAATGCAACAAGAGTCCAATGTCTATGCTTAAAATGTCCATGCTCAAATGTCACTGCCTGATTCTTCTTTTTCTAATAAATGTTTTTTCTGCAACATTTTCAATGTTTACGTTTACCAAACATAAGCTAATAAATTATTCTTTGAATGTAGGATGCTGGGGAAATGGTGCGCTCCCTTGTTGGTGGATTGGAACTGATAGTTGATTTACTCAAGTCAACAAATAATGAAGTGTTGGCAAGCATTTGTGCTGCCATTGCCAAAATAGCCAAAGACAAGGAAAACCTGGCAGTCCTCACAGATCACGGGGTTGTTCCATTACTGGCTAAGCTGACTAACACAGTAAGACCAATGTATTATGTGAGACTAATAATAGAATTGCATAATTTAAGTAACGATTACTTACAATAAAATGTATGTATAATGAAGTGTAGTCAGTATTTTTCTTTTCTTTCTTTGTAGATGGTCTAGTTTTTGCATTAATATAGCTAATAACATTTTCTTTAATGCATATTGCCAACAGTAATATGCATTCTCTTGCAGAGATTCTTTGCTCTATATATTCTAGCAACTGTTATCTTGAATCTGGGAACTTGTTTTCCTTCTACAGACTGATGACTGGCTCCGTCGCTCTCTGGCAGAGGCAATTGGCCATTGCTGCATATGGGGCAGCAACAGAGCATCCTTTGGTGAGGCTGGAGCAGTGGCACCTCTAGTCGATTACCTTAAGTCAAAAGACAGTTCAGTTTACCAGAGCACAGCCATGGCCCTGTACCAGCTGTCCAAAGACCCCAATAATTGCATTACAATGCAAGAGAAAGGAGTAGTTAAGGTAAGTTGCAAAACTATTTCAGCTTGATTCCTGGGCCCTCTTTTTTGGCAATTAACAAAGTTTCTTGTGGTATATTTGGTGCTTTTGAGACTAAATCTAGCATAATAGGAATAATTGCATTGAGGAAAATGGGCTTGGTCTCCCATCACCCTTGTTCGAGATGTGTTAAAAACATTGAGTAATAAAATTTGAAAAGCTGTGACTATTTTCAGAATCTCTTACCAATGGAGCAGAAACAAAGCAAGTTTTATTCTGTGGCGGAAACATAACTCCAACTTTCTAGCTGTCATGGGAATTCAGGAAAGCAAACACCTCAATGTGTGTCCAGTGCCATTTCTATGGTAGACCCTAGATGCCATCACAGCACAAGTCAAAGGGCTGTAGTTGTGGGTAACCGTTACTAAGGGCTATTTGTGGACATAAGGGCAGAATGCAGCAGGTCCAGAAGTGGGGTTAAAAGTGTTCAAAGATAAAATAGAACCATATTTTTAATTTATTTTCAATTTTATTTTTCCTAGTTGGGCAAAATCACCAAATGTTTTTCATCATGTCAGTGGTGTCTTTCAAAAACTGAACTGAAGTATTTTTGGTCAGTCATTTGAGTTTGTTAGGGTGCTTCCATGCTCAGCTACACAGGCTATATGGATTAGTCTCCGACAGTAATGCTGAAATTTATATCGTAAAAGGTTTGGGAAAATATTGATGTCTTATCCTCTAATTTGGAAATGTTTTACAGAAAGTCAAGTCTTTCACATGACAAACCTTGTTTTGACCACAAGTGTGTTAAACCAACTCCTCAAATAACAACTGTGATATGAATTACAAGATGGCAATAGTGCCAGATATTTTTTTCCCATGTTCATTAAATGGTGCACTTTGGCTTGATCTGCTTCAGTGTATGTGGTTCAACACTAGCCATAATTGGTTTGTTGGACTGGACATTGGGTGTTCCAAAAGCGCTATGTCCAATTTGCAAAAGTCGTTAAGCTGCATGCTTTTTGTAGTTTGAGCCATGATAAAAATGAGGCAAGCCTCTCTTTATTTTTTGCTTGCTGTCTATATTTGACTTTCTATGTGTGTGTGCAACTTCAAGACATCCCACCCTTTTTAATCTGTCTCCATGTTTGCCTTTATTAATGTACCAGTTAAGAATTGCAACATATTAATGTATTTTTGGACTTTTAAAGAGCTTAATTAGTAACGGCCACATAGCTGCACCAGCACTTGCATTTATTCTTAATCTCAGACACAGCACAGACAGCCTCATTGTTCAGTCTGGCCTGGGTCACAGCCAGTCTGGACAAAGGATGCTGATACAAAAGTGCTTGACCCATAAGGAAACATTGTGTGGGGGTTGTCAATTTACACTATTGAGTGTAAACTTTAATGCTATTCTTTATGATAAAAAAGGGAGTTTAATAATGAATTCAGGTGAAGGAAATGCATACTAACACAACAGGAATTTTAGCCTGAGAGATAAATCCTCCTTTCAGTTTGATTTGACATCCACTCTTAGTATCTCACACTTTTATATGGATGTGTTTCATTTTGTCATGTATTAAATCAACATGCCTTTCCCCTGTGCTTTACATTGCTTCCAAAAGACTGAGGACTGTTTGCTAAAACCATAAATCTGTACAGACAGCTTCAGCCAGATATTTTTGTTAAAGAGCCTCTTTGATAAGCAAAACTTTGTGAAGTAATTGATGAAAATTACTAAATGTGGACAGTAATTATTGGCAATTTTCAACTGAAAGTATTCCAAAAGTATAGCTTTTGCCAGGTCTTGGTATGTATTACAGGCCTTTTGTAATCTAAATGAGAAAAACGTTTGCACTTTTGTTACTATGTGTGTTTTTTTTTTCTCTGGCAAGGAAGTGTTTGTTTTGTCGCTTCTCATACAGTGAGGCTGTGGGGGGCCTGAATTGACTCAAATACGAGGACAGGAATATTTCCAAATGTTGTATCACAGTTTTACTTCCAAAGTTTCCTTTTGCTTTGCATAAAACATGACTTCATGTTCTGAATGTGGTGAGCAGATGATATGTTCATTGTGTGCTTCATATTCTGTTATGGCTACAGTGCAATTTTTCCAAAGGGTGTAATGTTTTAGAGCCTTCAACTTGACCGTTGTCCCTCATGCCATGTTATTCAGGTTGAACAGATTCATCGTTCAGTCTAAAACTTTAAAACTCTAAAACTCTCAAAGCCATTGATTGGAGAGCTCCCTCCTTTTCCTCTTCCTCTTTGGAGACCCAGAAAAAACAGCATAACAGTCTTGGGCTCACTGGAGAGTGCAGGGAATGTTGTTTACTTTGACCTCCCTCACTTACTTCCCCTCAACCTAGCTAAACAGTGCTGTCTGTTTGTACTATTTGCCCCCACAGTTGAGTATAAAACATAGTAATTCTAGGGTAGGGTTTTGGAAGCTGCATGGTAGTTGTAATGGCTGTCAGACCAACTACAGACTACTTTCAACCTGAGTTCAACTCTGTGGCAGTTACAGTTCAGCAGAGCACACTTAACACCGTGACAATTCCACAGGCAATAGAATGTGCATGTGTGTATATTCAGGCAGTAACAGCCTTCAAGAATGCATGCCCGCTCCTTTCATACATACATTGGTAGAGTTGGGGGAGTCAGTGGACGTCAGGACTTACTAAAGCTCTCTGAAGTGCAAAAACCTTAAAAGCTTAAGTTTTCAAATGTTGAGCGAGTGTTCATGTTATTACAGTCAAGGAAAAAGTGCTTTATTATTTTCAAAGAGATCCCAGTTGAGGGGGGGGGGGGGCTAAAAAAGGCTGCAAGACAGACACTTATTTTATCCTGGCTTTATGCTTTGGGGGACCTTATTAGGCTATGTTTGAATAATGTGTTATGAGGTTGGCAAAACTGCCAATTCATTATCTATTTTTTTGGCATTTTCTTTTCACACTTGTTTACCTAAAATAAACTGTAATCTAGGTCAGTTGCTTCCACAAAGTGGTGTGATTATAATCAAGATGTAGCTTTTAAAAAGCGCTGTGAGACAACTGTTGTTGTGATGTGGCGCTGTATAAATAAAATTGAATTGACTTTAATTGGCGGCACGGTGGTGTGGTGGTTAGCACTGTCGCCTCCCAGCAAGAGGGTTCTGGGTTCGAATCCCGGGGGAACCAGGGCCCTTCTGGGTGGAGTTTGCATGTTCTCCCTGTGTCTGCGTGGGTTCTCTCCGGGTTCTCCGGCTTCCTCCCACAGTCCAAAAACCTGCATGTTAGGCTGATTGGAGATTGGGGAAATTGCCCTTAGGAGTGAATGTGAGTGTGAGTGGTTGTTTGTCCTTGTGTGTCTCTGTGTGTCCCTGCGATGGACTGGCGGACTGTCCAGGGTGTACCCTGCCTCCTGTTGACCACTGGGATAGGCTCCAGTTCCCCGCGCGACCCCAACAGGGAATAAGCGGTATTGATAATGGATGGATGGATGAATTGAATTGAAAAATTTGAGTCTTGCTGTCAATTCACAGCACTTTTGTGCCAACAAACAAGCTGGTTCGCCTAATATTTAATCTATTTTAATTTCACAATTTAACCTTGTGCTTAAAGTGCTGGGAATATCCTCACTCTGCCCTCAAGCTCCACACAAATGTGCAGAGTGGTGTCTCAAGGTTGCTTATAACATTGATAGAGGACAACATTAGCTTCAGCTTTGCAGCTTTTGTAATGCAATGATAACCTTGGCAGATGATAGTCTTACACAAAACATCAATGTCAGTGAATATCTAAGTGAAAAACTGTGTGATTTTTAAAATATAAATGTCAAAGTATTGACAGTAAAAGTGTATATACTGTCCTCATCTTTGGTCTTGATCAGCAGTGTAATGTTGCACTGAAACCACAGGAACTGTGCACATAGCTTTCGAACTTGTAGGCCGGTTGCAGCATGTTGATTTTTATGGAAATAATTCTCAATGGTCTTTTCATGCACTCGAGAATAAAACTTGATACATGGAGCCTAAAAGTGCTCCAGAAATCTCTGCACTGTATCTATCCAGGCAATGTTATGTTTAGGAAGAGTTGGACCGTAAGTGCTTAGTTGAGGGATGTAATGTTGCCATTGGTTCATTATGGATGTAAACAAGACAATCTATAATAATTGCATGAATGGCTTTGAAAACCTCAAGTGGCGCACCATCACCATTTTACCACACAGCACACACTGAACAAATTTAGACTTAGTATTTAGACTTACATTTACTTTTGTTTTGATTTGACCCCACAGCTGCCCACAAACATAATGCAGTGATTTCACTACAGATAAACCAAGAAATAAAGAAAGTAAAAACCACCCAAAAACACATGGCACTTGCTGGTATTTTATATATCCATTTTGGTCCCTTTTTTGTTTGAGTCTACATAATATGCAGCACTTTGAAACTATGAGAATCTTTTTTATGCAGCCAAATAATAAACTTCCAAAGCTAGACTTTTCTGGAGAGTGAGAAAGCTCAAAACCCTTATTCTGCAATAAGATCAAACACAATCCATTACACAAGCCACTAATAGTTGGATATAATATGACCTTTGGAGCAGTGCAAAGGCTGTCAAGTGGTGTGGTTCATGCTCAGGTTTTTAATGTCGGGCCTGCCCTGCTCGACTTTCATCTGAACAAACCTACAAAGGCATGTGTGCGCGCAGCTGTTACCCCTTTGCTGAGGCATAGTTTGGAATGGGGACACACAAGTTGAAAACACACTTGCATACACACTGCCGTACGCGTGGCAGGGTAGTTGGACATAGTTGCTGCACAGTCAAGCAGGGACGTGTGAACACAGCCACTTGTTTGGGTGCTTGATGTTTTTCCAAAGGTGGATTTTTGCAATTTTAGAAACCACAATTATTTTATAATATAGTCCTTTATCCAGTTGTAACCTCTGTTCTCTCCACAGCCTCTGATTCAGATCATGGGTTCTGACATCGAGGTGCTCCAGGAAGCTGCTGCTGGCTGTGTGCGCGACATTCGACTTCTGGCTCAGGCAAATAAAAAGGCCTGTTTGTTTATTTGACTGCCAGTGACTATAACATGTTATATCTGGAAATTCTGGAGGGACTGTCCGAAAAAAGATCAGGAAGATTAAAAAAGCCTTTATGCCATTGTCCAATTTAACTAATTCTGCTTTTATTTCCAAATAGCTCACAACTATAAACTTTCAAACAATGAAAACAACTTCATGAAGTTACCAGTCTTATTACCAAGAAGTAAACACAGAACAACTAAACAAAAATGGTTAATCCAAGACATTTCGTAGTCCCACTTTCCTCCCTAATCCTTTTTCATCAGTCCCGTACCTGTAATAAATATGGCAGAACTTAAAAGCACATACCTTAATCTGACCTGTGAAACATATCTTTAGACTATTTTAAATCCTTGGAATGTTTTGTTTGAAACAGTTGAAAAATGTTAAAGTGAGTAGACCAAGTACCACAACTGTGTCATATATGGCCCATTACTGAAAAAGGAATTCATATTAAATTCAGATTAAATCACCTTGATTGAAGAGTGTGTTTTTTCCCCCTCTTGCTTCCTTTTCTAGCCGGGAACTTTCATTATGGACTGTGTTTACATAAATTATACCATCATAAATGAGTAGAAAAGCACAGTTATCTGACCATCTGTGCCCACTGGGTCTGCACAAAGGTATTGTGTATACCCTGATCCAATAATAACCCATCAATCCATTGTCAACCGCTTATCCGGGGTCGGGTCTCGGGGGCAGCAGCCGAAGCAGGGAAACCCAGACATCCCTCTCCCCTGCCACTTCTGCCAGCTCCTCCGGGGGATTCCGAGGCGTTCCCAGGCCAGCCGAGACACATAGTCCCTCCAGCTTGTCCTGGGTCTTCCTCTGGGCCTCTTCCCGGTGGAACGTGCCCAGAACACTTCACCAGGGAGGCGACCAGGAAGCATGCTGATCAGATGCCTGAGCCATCTCAACTGGCTCCCCTCGACGTCGATGAGCAGCGGCTCCGCCTTTAAGCACAGCTATCTCTTCTTCACGACAGAGAAGCTGCATGGTAGGCATCACTGCCAACGTTGCACCGATCCGCCTGTCGATCTCACGCTCCCTACCCCCATTCATTAACAAGACCCCAAGGTAATTGAACTCCTCCACTTGGCGAAGGACGTCCCCCCTTCCCTGGAGAAGGCCCTCTACCCTTTTCCGGTGAGAGACCATGATCTCGGATTTGGAGGCACTATCCTCACCCCAGTCTCGCACCTGGCTGCGAACTGCTCCAGCGAGTGCTGTAAGTCGCGACTTGATGAAGCCAACAGGACAACATCATCTGCAAAAAGCAGAGACGTGATCCTAAGGCCACCAAGACGGACACCTTCGACACCTCGGCTGCGCCTAGAAATTCTGTCCATACAAGCTTTGAACAGAACCGGAGACATAGCGCAACCTTGGGGGAGTCCAACTCTCACCGGAAACGGATCCGACTTACTACCGGCAATGCGAACCAAGCTCTGACTCCGGTCGTACAGGCACCGAACAGCCCGTAACAAAGGGACCGGTACCCCATACTCCCGGAGCACCCCCGACAGGATACCCGGAGGGACACGGTCGAACGCCTTCTCCAAGTCCACAAAACACATGTAGACTGGTCCAGCGTTCCACGGCCAGGACGAAAACCACACCGACGGAACCTCCCCTTCCAGAACCGCCGAATAGACCTTCCCAGGGAGGCTTAAGAGTGTTATCCCCCTATAGTTGGAACACACCCTTCGGTCCCCCTTTTTAAATAGGGGGACCACAGCCCTAGTCTGCCAATCCAGAAGATCCTGACTTTTTTGCTGTTGGTCATACAGTCCTGGATATTGTATTTTTATTGCTGTGTGGCTACTGTTCACTATCCCTGTTGTCAGCTTGTCTGATCCTGTTGTCTGTTTATTATGAACACGTCTTGTTAGAGTTAGCTGCCCTTCACTGTTGGCTTCTATGGTCATTGCTCTCTCATGTCTCTATCTCTGATCCTGCTGCCTTGGTCTCACTTACCTTAGATGAAGATAGTCTGCACTCAACCACAGATGCTGCCACAAAGTCTCATGGGATTTTCATCATTAATATCAGCCATGTGTGAAAATGTTTAAATTAGCAAAACATTGGAAATATGTCAAAAAAATCTTCAGAACTCTCTGAAGTTAAGCACTACCAGCTGGTACAAAGGTCAGTGGAAGAGCATGAATTTAGTAAGAAAGGCTCAGCATACTTGTAAATGTGAAGACACAACTTACTCCAAGGAACCAAAATGAAGAGTTGAAGGCAACTGTTCAATAATAGTTAATTAGCATTGATTAAGGCCTTTTTAGTTTAATTTAGTTGCTTTTTTAGTTGTCTTTAATTTAGTTTAAAAAAGTCAATTGATAGGTGTTTACAAGAGAGACGGTTCCTGGTTTCAAGTCCCCATGGGGACCTGGACCATTCCGTGTGGAGTTTGCATGTTCTCCCTTGGTCTGTGTGGGTTCTCTCCAGGTACTCCACCTTCCTCCCACTGTCCAGAAATATGGAAGTTAGTTGCCCCCATTCAACTGGGATAGGTTCCAGCCCCCCTGCGCCCCCTTTAGGAATAAGCGGTATAGAGAATGAATGCATAAGATGGTTATAATGGCAAAGCAGCCCGGTGTACAATGCTCAGTAAGAGCAGAAGAAGTAAAAAATGATTCATTGTAGTAATGTTCCATTTAAAAACCTCACTTCTCACTCTCTTCTTTTACATTTATCACTGCATTGTAAATTAATCTATTTTCATGTTCAACAAAGGGTATGTTCTTGAATGTGTTTCATCTATACGGACCAAAAAAATGGTTACAAGATGAACATGGAAAAAATGTAAATATAATTACAACCTTACTTGTTAAAACAGTTGGCACAGAATTGATGCCTTTGTTTTCAAACCTGATGTTGAAATTTCTAGTACACAGGGGCGAGGCTGAGAGAAAGTAGAAAGGTGAATTCAAGAACTTAGTCCTCAGGGTCATTGGTCGTGAAGCCACATTTGAGGGTATTAGTTGTGCCACAAACCCTCTGAGAAAATAAGCTGCCACTTTCTTTGGCTTACTATCCAACATAAAGACATTACTCAAAGGAAATTAGAGGTTATGCCTCCATGCCTCAGCAGGAGCACCAATTATGTCTCTCTCTGGCCTTTGGTCACCTCTCAAGATCCCTCACTTCTCATTGCTTCATTGAAATTATGGAAATGGTAGAGGGATATCCCTGCTGTTACTGTTTTGAGGGTCCTGCCACACCCAAGTCTTGTTTCTCAAATTAGTGTGTCTCACCATTGGCCTAACCCTCACCATGTCCAGGCTCCATCCAACCATTCCCATAGCAGAGGGTGATGGATGGTACTGCTGTAGAATAATATGTGGAGACAACATTTCTTCAGTTGTAAAGTTAGCCTTTCTACATTTTGACAGTTATAATTTTGTATGGTAATATTGGATTTTTTTTCTAATTGAAGTACTACTTTGAAGTATTTTGAATGATCTCACGCATCCCCAGGCTTCCTGCTGAAATATTTCATATGAGAAACTAATATAAAATCACTAATATATCAAGTATTGAAAGTTTTTTTTGTTGCTAATAGATAAAATCACTAACTGTTGCACAGCAGCAGCCTGGTTTGCTTGTGGTGTTGCCATCATAAATATATGTGTTTGCAACAGTCTCTCAGAGCTCCAAATGGAGGACAGCACTCTTTAGGGGCTGAGAACTGTTGGCTGAACACATCTTCTGTTCTCAGTCATAAATGAACTTTTATAACATTACAGCAGCACTCACACCATCAGGACTGCTAGTGTGAGAGTTGTGTGTTATGCTGGCCTCCTGTTTCCTGAGCATGCCTCTCTTTATTCATTTCCTCTCCTCAGGTGACCTCTCACAATTTCTGCTCCTCACAAGTTTATATATTTGCAATGTAAGAATTTTTTTCCCCCCTGAAACTTTAATGAATATTGACTCAGGCCCCATAACATGTAAATAAGAAGCTGGCATAAAATTACATAGTGAAATAAGAAGACAAACAAAATAATGTCAGGGTCCAATTTCATAAGTGCGATGGTAGTGTTCATTAAAGCCTAAAAATTATAATGATACCTTATTTGCAATGACAGCGGTTAATTTCAAGTATGAGGCATTTTTATCCTTTGAGCTTATTTTCACAGCACCATAAGAAAGTAAATATAAAAGTTAAAGTATTAGTAAATAAAAAAGTCACTCTTTGAATATTGTTGCCCTAATTCTGAATATACACTACCGTTCAAAAGTTTGGGGTCACATTGAAATTTCCTTATTTTTCAAGGAAAAGCACTGTACTTTTCAATGAAGATAACTTTAAACTAGTCTAAACTTTAAAGAAATACACTCTATACATTGCTAATGTGGTAAAATACTATTCTAGCTGCAAATGTCTGGTTTTTGGTGCAATATCTCCATTGGTGTATAGAGGCCCATTTCCAGCAACTATCACTCCAGTGTTCTAATGGGACAATGTGTTTGCTCATTGGCTCAGAAGGCTAATTGATGATTAGAAAACCCTTTTGCAATCATGTTCACACATCTGAAAACAGTTTAGCTCTTTACAGAAGCTACAAAACTGACCTTCCTTTGAGCAGATTGAGTTTCTGGAGCATCACATTTGTGGGGTCAAATAAATGCTCAAAATTGCCAGAAAAAGAAAACTTTCATCTGAAACTGGACAGTCTATTCTTGTTCTTAGAAATGAAGGCTATTCCATGCGAAAAATTGCTAATAAATTGAAGATTTCCTACAACGGTGTGTACTACTCCCTTCAGAGGACAGCACAAACAGGCTCTAACCAGAGTAGAAAAAGAAGTGGGAGGCCGTGTTGCACAACTGAGCAAGAAGATCAGTACATTACGGTCTCTAGTTTGAGAAACAGACGCCTCAGACGTCCCCAACTGGCATCTTCATTAAATAGTACCCGCAAAACACCAGTGTCAACATCTACAGTGAAGAGCCGGCTGCGGGATTCTGGGCTTTAGGGCAGAGTGGCAAAGAAAAAGCCATATCTGAGACTGGCCAATAAAGAAAAAGATTAAGACGGGCAAAAGAACACAGACATTGGACAGAGGAAGACTGGAAAAAAGTGTTGTGGACAGATGAATCCACGTTTGAGGTGTTTGGATCACAAAGAAGAATGTTTGTGAGACACAGAACAAATGAAAAGATGCTGGAAGAATGCCTGACACCCTCTGTTAAGCATGGTGGAGGTAATGTGATGGTCTGGGGTTGTTTTGGTGCTGGTAAGGTGGGATATTTGTACAGGGGAAAAGGGATTCTGAATAAGGAAGGCTATCACTCCATTTTGCAACGCCATGCCATACCCAGTGGACAGCGTTTGACTGGAGCCAATTTCATCCTACAACAGGACAATGACCCTAAACACACCTCCAAATTATTATTATTATTATTAAACTATTTAGAGCAGAAGCAGGCAGCTGGTATTCTATCGATAAT